GTGATTAAAAAAAGAAAAAAAATAATAATATAAAAGTTATTATATATTAAAAGATATATCTATTGCAAAAAAGAAAGATGGCAGTATCGGTGAACAATTAAAAATGGCCGCCGTTAATCAGCTGTTCCATATTTAATTTTCGTGTCAGATTTCTTTATATATATATATATATATATAAAAAAAAAGGAAATAGAAAAAATATAGAAATTTATGATTATACGCAATGATTAGAATAAAAAGAAAAAAAAAAGAAAGAAAAGAAGAAAAATAAATTGTCATAGTTAAAATTTATTTAGATTAAATACCTTGAAAGGTTTAAATATCCATTTACAAAAGATTACAACACCTAAATTGACCTAAATTAAAATAGCTTTTCAACTGTTCGATTTTCAAAAAAAAAAAAAAAAGAAAAAAAAAACCTGTTAATAAGCTTGTCAAAGCGGAAATTTTTCTTTTCGTCAGATTAACTTTAGTTAGTCGCATTCGGACATATGCACTCCGTTAATTGCTTCTTCCCTTTAACATGGGGGACCATAAGAGCACGTGGTGCGTTTCCGCGAAATACTTCGAGTCTTTCAAGCGTACCGAGACAACCAACGTCAGGCCAACTGCTATTGGCAGGCTAATTTGTCAACTAAGTTACCTCCTTCTTCCTTGATCTATCTTGGCCTAGTTTTAATTTTTACAAAAAGAAAAAAAAAATATCTCACCATAGGAAAAAAACAAATATTTTCTCCAAAATATAAAATTAATTTCCACGTATTTCTATTACAACGTTCGTTCATTTATCCATTCATTCATTCATTCATTCATTCATTCATTCATTCATTCATTCATTCATTCATTCATTCATTCATTAAGAAATTTTTTTTTTTTCTTACAAATCAAATTAATCATTTTCGTTCTATCTGCTTAATTGTTATTCCTCGTTCGTGCGTACAATTCGAAAAAAGATCAAAATTCAAATTAAAAAAAGAAAAGAAAATAATAATAATAATAATAATAATAATAACAATAATAATAATAAGAAAAAAAAAACAAAACCAGTTCGATCATCCTAATCACATTATTAATCCCTCATAAAAGATAACAATAATGATACGCAGCCATTTCATAATTATCATATTCATTCAACCCGTCGCATTTGATCTCCAATTCTCATATCTCTGTTCAGTGAGACACGAAATTAAAAACAAACAAACAAAAAAAATAAAAAAAAGCAAAAATAAATCGAAGACTAAAAAAAAAAAAAAAAAAAAAAAGACAGAATCCAACTAACTCAATCGTCCCTAATTACTCCTATGAATGACATTCGAAAAATAATTAAATAAAAGAAAAGTAACAATTAGCAATCATCGAACGTATTAATCCATTAATTCGACTTTTGAAAAAATTTATACCAAAAGTACCTAAAAGATTATATTTACCTACTAGAAATAAAGACAGAAAGAAACAGAATGAGAGAGAGAGAGAGAAAGAGAGAGAATATATACGGTATAGAAGATGCGGAATAGAGAAAAGAGTAGGAGTCAAAGAAGTAAAAGTGGTAGTAGTAGTAGTAGTAGTAGTAATAGTTGTAGTAGTGGTAGCAGTGGTATCGGTAGTAGTAGCAAAGTTGGTGGGGGTTAAGGGTGTTGAGGGGTGAGGAGTTGAGGGGGAAGGAGGGCGTGTGGCGTGTGTTCGTCGTACGGGACGTGTTATTAGCCGGCACCCTCTTTCTCGTTCCTCCTCCAGCAACTACTACAGCAGCCACATCCTTTCCATATATACATACATACATACATATATATATATGTATATATATTTTTTTGCTTTTCTTTTCTTTTTCTTTCTCGTTTTTCTTTCTCCTTCATCCTTCCTCTTTCTTCCTTCCTTCTTTCTTCCTTTCTTTCTTTCATCCCATTTCCTATGCGGGGTTGCTAGAAACGCGTTTAATTAACATAGCTGGCATGGCTGCATCCCTCTTCTCTCTCTCTCTCTCCCTCTCTCTCTCTCTCTCTCTCTCTCTCTTACTCTATCTATCTATCTCTATCTCTTTCTTTTTCTTTCTGAGCGCCAAGAGCAGCAGGCAGTGAGCTTTCATGGACCATTGCACTCGCGATGCGAGTATTATGCTATCTCTCTCTCTCTCTCTCTCCCTCTCTCTCTATCTATCTATCTCTCGTACAGGTCTCTCACCCCATCCCTCACACACTACGTTATATCTCATAGATGTGTGCTGTGGCATTTTCGTCTTTCTCTCTCTCTCTCTCTCTCTTTCCTTCTTTCTCTGTCACTTTACTCGTCTATTTCTATCTTACATTTAATACACATGCGCACTGGCATATAGTTTTGGTCAAGACCATGTGGTACTTTGTATTCATCTCTCTCTCTCTCTCTCTCTCTCTTTCTCCCTCCCTCTCTCCCTCCCTCTCTCACTCACTCTCTCAAAGGAACATCATCTTGATTGGCTGGTTCGTTCCTCGGGGTTTTCTCATATTATTTAGCAACGGATATGGTACGCGCGTGCCTACATACCCACGGAAATGCGCTTTTTGACGGATCACCCGACTAATTTGGTACTTGTCAACCGTCTCGGCACGTGGGATTAACGACGACCACCTCCATTCGAAAGTGTTCCTTGAAATTTTTTTCTCTCCAAGTTAACCCAAGACCCGAGATCCGAAAGAGTGGGATTGGAGTTGAGAAAGGGGGAGTGCGAGGGGGGTGGGGGGAGGGGCCCAAGGGATTTCGAAGGTTCGCTGGTTCAAACTCGAACGGTTGAGGGGTTGGTTGGAGGGCATTGAAGGGGTCAAGGGATGTAAGCAGGGGTGGGGCTAGGCCATGGAGGGGTAAGGGGTGAAAGGCGAGGCTGAATTCTTTTTAGCGAGGAATGTTTCTTCCCGGTCGCAGTCCGTTAATTGCGCTCTGGAAATTGTCTCTCTCTCTCTCTCTCTCTCTCTCTCTTTCTCTCGCTTTCGCTTTCGCTCTCGCTCTGTTTCTTTTCTCTTTTTTCTTTTTATTTTTTTTTTTTTCTTTCGTTTTGTCTTAGGTATAAAGATATTTAGATCTTTCTTTTGGCCTCGTTCGAAAATGAACTTTTGTGTTTTTGTTCGAATTTATTTTCGGCTTTTTGCTTTCTTTTCTCATTCATTTTCCTTTTCCTTTTATTTTTTATTTTTTATTTTTTTTTTACATCATCAAAGTCGATAATATACATTAGATCTAGATTGTTGTGATAATTAATGAAGAGGGGTGAGGAGGGGGGTTGAGGGGTGAATTCGATTTACCAATTGAATTTTTTTATTATATTAATTTCGCAATATTAGATTGTATTTTTCATTTAGAAATAATAACAATGATATTAATGATGTCTTATATCAACGGTCGATAAAAAGGAAAGGAATGAAAAGAGAAAGAAATTGATTTAGAAAAGAAAAAAGAGAAAAAGTAGAATTATGGAAGAAAACTTTGGGTTCGTGGAATTGCCAGTTTGATTTGTAATAATTCTTCATTTTTTTTTTTTTTTATAAAGTCATTTTTTATGAAATTTTATTGCTTCGAAAAAGATCCAAACTAATGACGATTTTACAATTATCTCAAATTATATAATCAAATCTAATTAAAATTAATAATCTTGTTTAGATTAGATATAAACAGATAGTAAGAATTAAATTTAATAATCTAATCGTAAATTTACTAATCTTCTAAAATCATAAAGTTTCAAAATAAAATGCAACAAAAAAAATTATAGCTGTCTCTCGTCCAATAAACGACAAGAAAAAGAAAAAAAGAAAATAAAAATTAGATTAGAATTATGAATTCATTGCAAGATAATCTCCCGCCTTTTTTAATCGACGAGAAAGAGTTCGATGGTGCCATCTATCAGATTAACGACTTGACTACTACAAACACCCACGAATATCGTTCTACTTTATCATCGATCGGTAAAACAGAACAATTAAATAAAAAAAAATTAATTCATTTCTTTTCGTTAAAATCTGCGACATTTCGATTAATAAAAAAATATATATATATGTACATACACATACATAAAAATGGATGATTTATCATGATTAAATTTTCATTTATTAAATTTCATTTATTTATCATTATTATCTATAAAGCTTGCATTTTACATATAAACAATATTCTTATTATAATACTTTCACGTTACAACATTATGAGAAAATTTTTTTTTTGTTATGCATTATCCATTGATCAGAGATGTTTTCGATTAACATACAAAATTCAAAATAAATTTCAAATTGCTAAAGATGAATCCCCTAAACGAAAAATATAATGATAATATTTAAGTAATACTAATTGGCACGTATCAAATTTGCAGAATAACAAATATATAAACTTATCTACAAACTTACGATCTTAACAATTCTAATCAATCATTGAATTTCTAGTCAAAATAATAACGATAATAATCTAGTGAATGAATTAGAGAAAAAAGAAAAATATATCCTAAAGAAATATATCTAATTCACAAAAGTCAGAATACAACGAATTTAAAATTATTGATAATATTACTAATCGATCCTTCAATTTCTAATCAAAGTAATAATAACAATCGACTAGGAGATAGGATTAGTGAAGAGAGAACGAGAGAAAGAAAAAAAAAATATATAAGTAAATAAATAAAAAAAAAAAAATACCAATTCACAGCGGGATTCAGAATACAACGACGCGAACTTACGGTCTTTAATAATACTAATCGATAATCCAATTTTATTTAAACAAAATGATAATAATACGAATGATAAACTAAATAAGGATAAATAAGGACAACAATATATATCGTTCTAATCTGATGTCATTTTAGACGACAATACTCTTTTTCTCGGATGAATTAATTTGAGATTAGATAAATTGATAAAAATATTATAAACACAGAGCGAGCGAGCGATAGAGACAGAGAGGGAGAGAGATTGATAAATACTAAAAGCAAAACAAAATATGCTTGATCTAACACATACATATTATATATATATATCTCTCTTTCTAATCTTTACTATGCCCCACCGGTCGCATTAGATTTGGATTTGGCCTCCGCCACTAAGTTCGTATTGAGATGATGACGATTTTCCAAATGCAAGTTGTTGAAGACACTTTGATATGTCTTAGCGATTCGTTCTCTGTCCTCAACGGCCAAATTTTGAAATTCCTCTTCCAATTCCTTAATCAGAATTTCCCTTTGAGTCGTGGCATCCTTAATAACGAATCTGTCATCCTCTTTAATCCATTTCTCCCATAGAACCTTTGCGCCATCGCTAAATGCACGTAGTAACAAACATACATAGTGAAAATGAAGACGAAGATAATCATTTTCATTGGATAAATTATATTAGAACATTCACACAAAATAATTTTTTCTTTTTTTTACATCATACGCGTTACTAATTACGAATCGAAACAATACACTTTAAGAGTCGTTTTTGTTTACTTTCTCTTTTTTTTCTTTTTTTTTTTTTTTGCAGGTAAAGGTGGGCTAATACGTAGGGTGGGCAGGTGTTGCGCGGAAAGGGTGGGCCTAGGTGGGTTAATACATAGGGTGGACATGTGTTGCGCGGAAAGGGTGGGCCATTGGTGGGCAGGTTGCACCTATGTATTTTATAACATTAAAATTGAAACATTAGGAACATTCTCTTGGTATCTATTTAGGTTACGCGTGTTATTAATTAAAAGAGAAATAGTTTCTATGTTTTCAACCGTTATTTTCTCTATTTTTTGCTTTCTTTTTTTTTTTTGCAGGTAAAGGTGGGCCTAGGTAGGCTAATATGTAGGGTGGGCAGGTGTTGCGCTGAAAAGGTGGGCCATTGGTGGGCAGGTTGCGTTTATGTATTTTATTACATTGAAATTGGAACATTCTTTTGGCAACTATTTGAGTTATGCGTGTTATTAATTAAAAGAGAAATAGTTTCCATGTTTTCAACGTTATTTTCTTTCTTCTCTCTCTTTTTTTTTTTTTTTTTTTTTTTTTAGGTGAGAGATAACCTGGCGAGAGGACGTAAGATAGTCGTTTACTTCCTTCGAAATTAGAACGTTAGAAATATTCATTGGAACGAACGGAGACAAGTAGGTCGAGAAATGTTTCTTGGCATCTATTTTGAAATAGTCCCACGTTGATAATTAAATATGTAATTATAATTTCTATACTTTCGACATCATTTTATCATTTTTTTTTTTTCTTTCATTTTTCTTTCGTACCTCATTAATTTGAAATTGAAACTGCGCGCGTGTGTTGTTGATAATTATGAATGGGGAAAAAAAAAGAAAAAAAAAGAAAAAAGAAAAAAAAAAAGAAATAATTGCTATACTCTCGACCGTCATTTTCTGTTTATTTCTTTTTTTTTTTTTTGCTTTTTTTTCGTTTCTTTCGAATAAAAGATGGGCAGGTGAGGGTGGGTGGATTGGTGTAAGGATTATCAGAAGGTTATTTAATTCTTTCGAAATTGGAACATCTGTGAATATTTATTGGGATTGAACAGAGAGAGAGAGAGAGAGAGAGAGAGAGACAGAGAGAGAGAGAGAGAGAGAGAGAGAGAGAAAGAGAGAGAGACAAGTAGGTTGAAATGCTTCTTGGCATCAATTTAGGTGTTTTGTGAATGATTCAGAGTTAGACTATTGCGACATTAGACGAAGTTCGAAGGAAACACTTTAATTCGCGATTAAGATGTTTATCGTCGTATCCTTGACACCATTGATCACTGTATTAGTTCAAGGTCAAAACAGAAAATTTCTTAATTAGTTTATAATTATGAAATGATTCTTTTTTTTTTTTGTTTTTTAATCGAACATTCACTCATTCGTTCATTCATTTGTTTACATAATCAAAGGACAGATTAAAAAAAAAAAAAAAAAAAGAAAAAAAAGAAAAAAAAAGAATAATAATTATAATGAAAAATTTGTAAAGAATAATTATTAAAATATGATTACCTATACATCGACGTATCCGTACAAGCATCAACCCTTAGGGCAAGTTCACGTTCCCTGTCATCGATATTTTTAAGTGCCCTATCCCTAACATCCTCATCCATTGTAAGACTCTTCATATTAAATATCTTTTTCTCTCTGATCAATTCCAATTCATTCTTCATATCCCTTAATCTAATGGCATCATCCCATCTTTGTCTATTGCAAGCATGTTCCTCCTTTTTCAATAGATCATCTATCTTTTCCTTGAGCTCTTTATATGTCAAATAAAGATACATTTTTTCAGAAAGATTTTTAACATTAGGATCCATCCTCATCCAGGGATAACCCCTTTCCCTTTCATAATCACAATGATCAATTATAATTTGTTTATCATTTGCAATATCATTGGTCGTTATCTCTTGTTCGGTCCTATTCAATGTATAATCCTTATCACAAACGTCCTGCGGAATGATCGTAGGATCCTCTTGATCTATCAAATTTATCGTATTCGTTTGTATCGGCGTGGTGGTTGTTGTTGAATCATCTACTACGTCAACATTAAGATTTTCTTTGTCATCGTCCGCCATCTTGCTGCTAACCGTACTCATCGTTGTCGTCATCATTGATTCCTGCAAACGACGTGATAAATTGTCGAAAATATCATCGCCAGGTCTAACATTTGTATTCTCCAAACTCCTACGTGCATAACGTGCCGAATATTTTCTATTACGTGCTAATAGATCAATATTATTATCGTATCGATCCTTCTGATCGTTCCAATTGGACATATTGTTCTTTTTATAAGTCGAATTGGTACGATTAATCTCTTGATTTGTTTTAAGTAAATTTGTCGAATCTTTCAAATGAAAACATTCCGCAAAATCGTTTGAATTATTATTACTTTTATTATTACTTCTATTATTATTATTATTAATAATAATATTATTATTACTATTATTAATATTCGAGCTAATTATTGAAGAGGAAATTGGTCGAGGATCGAGAAAATATGAACGTAATCTTCGACATGTATTAGGAAAATAAAGATCCTGTTCCATACGTTTCTCTTTTAATTTCTTTTTAAGAAATTCCAACGTGTTAATATCATTTTCTTGTGATTTTTTTTTCCTAATTAATTCAGCCAATTCCCTTTGATATAGCTCATCCTCCTCCTTCAATAATATTCTCAATTTGTTTCTCCTTCCTGGAAGTTGGTCTAGTTTTTTTTTTCTTTTAGCTTCCCTCTCAAGCTTACCCCTTGGATCAGCAACAGCAAGCTTCAAGTTCCAAGAATCGTAATGTTTCGCTATTCCACTTTCTCTTTCAAAATATCTTGCTGTCTCCTTGTAATAACTTTGCCTTAGGTATGCCTCGTTACGTTTCTCCGCTGCTAACTGATACTGCCTCTCACGAAAACGGCCGGCCCTTCAACAAGGTCAAGTAGTCTCGTTCTGATAAGTTTCTTTAAAAGAGAAATTGACATTTTATTTCAAACAAAATAAAAATACAATATATTACAGTATCTTCGCAATTTTATAATGATGGATGATCATGATGATGCGTCTTAAAATAAATGTATTTTGAGTCTTCTAATGACGATCGTATTCTATTTGTTTTTTTTTTTTGTTTTTTTTCTTTCTTTCTGTCTTAAAACGTTCCATGCCGCGTGTACCGCCGGTGGTACACGTTAAACTTGATCTTCAGGCCACGTGTACCACCGGTGGTACACGCATTTTTTTCCCCCTCCCAATATATCAAATGGCCTGAACGACAAGTCAGGCAAAAATGGCTTGGCACGTGTTAAGATTTTATTTTGACAAAAAGTTTATATTTTCTTTTCCTGGGAATTTTTTTTTTTTTTTTTTTTTCTTTTTTTAGATGAGAGAGACTGAGAAAAGGATTACCAATGGAAAATTTATTTGCCATCGATCATAATTATATTTTTAAATGTATCCTTTCCCGAGAGAAAGAGAGAGAGGGGGGGGGGGGGAAATAGAAAAAAAAAAAATTCTCGAAATAACAGAAATTTTTTTGGCGTTTCATTCATCATGTAAATCGACGATTTGGATAGATTTGAAAATATATTTGGATGGAATAAGATTATCCACATCCCCTATCACACTCATCCCAAAGAAATGCCGGAAATGATCGATCAGGATTATGAACGAAACGATTTGAAAATGCTTTTTCACAAATTTCTTAGAAAATAATTCACGAATTGGAGCATCATTATAATTGAACGTGAATTTAAAAGTTTACGATACATTCGTAAAGACGTCGAAATTATTATACTGAGAGAAAGAAAATTTATTGTACCGAAATCTTTCGTAATCGCGACAAAATACCAACGGTGATTGGTTGAACAACAATCCAATTTAATTCAATTCAATCCAATCAAAATTGACTCCTAAGTAATAAAATATATATATATATATATATATATATATATATATTTCGCAAAAAAAAAGATACGATAGTTTCTCTAAGAACAAACTGCGGGGAATGAATATTAATGAAGAAAATCATTCAAATGATATTTACAAATGATATATCATTTGAATATATCCAAATCATTTGATAATATTATTTTCGTCACAGCTTATATATCCAATGTGGGGATATTTATAACGACACCATGAATATCATATTAAGTATGGTTGTAACAGACGTTAGCAAAGGAGAAAAAAAAAATAAAAAAAAAAAAAAAACAAACAAACAAAAAATTAATTTTATCTACCTTAAAAAATATTCCGCGAAATGTCGAAGATCAAAATAAATGATTTTGAAAATAAACCCGACCGCACCCTCCCCTCCCCACGTGTCTCATGCGATCGTAGGGAATGAAGGAGCCTGTCAAAAAAAAAAAAAAAAAAAACGAAAAGAAAAGGGAGAGGGGGGGGAAGAAAACATAAAAAATGAAAATACCAAACAGGATGCTCCAAAAGAATTAATACTAATCACGTCGAGATGGATGGAATAATGTGATCATATTATATATTAGGGTTGGAAACTATGAAACGGGCGTTTTCGTTTAGTTTTTTATTTTCATTCAATGCCCATTTCATAGTTTCCAACCTGATACTTATATTTCGATGATGATTAAAACAAATGTCAATTGGATTGATCGACATAATCGAAATAAAAAATGAATATCGAAGTAAAAAATAAAAATCCCTACGTTACAGCATTATTGCATTGCGCATCTAACAAAGAAAGTAATAAAATGTGAATGAAACAAAAAAAAAAAAAAAATAAATAAATAAAAATTAATTAATTAAATAATTAACCTTGAGAGATGAAACGGATAAGTAAACAATTGTCTCAATTATAGTTAGATAGGTAGGTATTGTTGACGAACGCAAAAAAAAAAAAAATAATAAATAAAAAATAGAGATAGAGAGAGATAGAGAGAGAAAGAGAGAGAGAGAGAGAGAGAGAGAAAGGAAATTGTCGTGTAGGAGGAGGAGGAGAAGGAGGATGAAGACAAATAGAAAGAAGAAGATGAAGGAGGAAGGTAGAAGAGGAGAAGGAGGAAGAGGAGGAGGAGTATCAATTTCTATTTCGAGCTTGCGACTCTAAGTGACGTCAGATCTACCAAAATATCACACGGTTAGGGAGGTGCAGTTGGTTAGAGCTCCGGTGTGTGGTCCAGGTCTCGATCTTTCCCAGACTCCCAAAAATCTTCTAACACGTCGGGAGTACGACGTTGGATTTGTGATTTCTTCCACCATTTTCCATCAGTTTTACAAGATCAAAAATTCGAGGGGAAAGAGCAGAAGGGGGGAATAGAAACCCCCCCCAAAAAAAAAAGAAAAGAAAAGAAAAGAAAAGAAAAGAAACTCCTCCAGAAAGAAAGAAGAGAGAAATAGGAAGATAGGAAGGAAGGGTGGAAGGGAGGGGAAAAAAAACTATCCAGAGAACAAAAAAAAAAAAAGAAAAAAAAGAGAGAAACTCAAGAGAAAGTGAATTGTTCGTCATTAAAATCTTCGTTTCTCAACTGATCATCATTTTCCCCAACTCCCACCTACCCCCCGGCCCCGGCCCCTTCTTCTCCCTCTTATCATCACATTCCTCATCTGATCCCATATAATCCCTTTTCCTTATTATTGTTTTTGATATCAAATCGATTTGATCATTTCCCATTCTTTTTCCGATTATCCTGTTTTTCTTTTTTCTTGTTTTTTTTTTTTTTTTTTTTTGACTCGGTGGTCCTAAAAAAAAAGTGTTACATATATATATATATATATATTTTTTTTTTTATTATTATTGTTGTTGTTGTTGTTGCTGTTGCCCTCTTCCATTTGATCAATACTACAAAGTTGTATAGAAGAGATAAATACCTAAAGGGTTGACAAAAAGAAGTTGTTAAGATGCCAGGTGCCGGTGGTCAGCCACCGCAGCAAAGGACTACCTTTAGACCACCCTGGGTCAAGGATGGTGGTCCTAATCCTCTACCCATGCCCACAGCACCATGGACCCTTAATTCTAGAAGGGACTCCAAGTCGAAGGCCGAAGAACCACCGGCTTTCACCAAAGTTACGTTAAAGGTATTTATTATCTTTTTTTCTTTTCTTTTCTGTTTTTTTTTTTGTTTGTTTGTTTGTTTGTTTGTTTTTTTGTTTTCTTTTTTTTTTGTTTCTTTTTTTTTTTGGACGTTCTCTTAACACTCCTAACAAATTCTATCAATCAATATATTAATCTGATCAATCAATTTTGCAATTCGTTTTATTAATTCTTGACTTATTAATTTCTTTTTGACGATTAACCAAAAAAAAAAAAAAAAAAAAAAAGAAAAGAAAAGAAATAAAATAAAATAATAAGAAGATAATAATGATAACAAATTTTTAACCCTTTTTCTTTTTTGTCCTTAGTAAATAATTTCTCGAATCTGTCGATTTCTGTTAATTTATCGTGAACGAATTTTTTTTCTTTCTTTTTCTTTTTTTTTTTTTATGTCAACTTTCAACGACAACTTTTAGTATAGAAATTGGACTTTATTTTTTTTCTTCCATTAATCACGAATGAAATTTATTTCGTTCTTATTTATTTATTTATTCATTTTCTTTTTTCTTTCTTTTTTCTTTTCTCTTTTTAATGTCATACTCGAGCAACAATTTACAATAAAAATTTGTGATATTTGTCACACACACACACACACACATACACACACACACAAACACAATTCCTCTTTCTTTCTTAGATAAAAAAAAAAAAATGAAGAAAGAGATTTATCAAAAAATTGATTATAAAAAAAGAGAGAGGGAGAGAGAGAGAGAGAGAGACAGAAAGAGAGAGAGAGGGAGAGAGAGAGAGAATATCGTAAAGAAAATTTAAACATGTTCATAGTGAATTATAAAAAAAAAAAAAAAAATCTTACAAAATTTATTACAAAAAAGGAAAAAAAGAAAACAAAAAGAAATCATTTTGGAATCGATTTCTATTATTTATTCATTTATTTATTTTCTCTTCTTCTTTGATAATTCTTCGTCATAAGGTAAACGATTTATTAATAAATAAAAAAAAAAAAAATGAGAAAAAAAAGTAAATACGAAAAAAAAAAGAAATAAAAAAAAAATAAAAAAAAAAAAAAAAGAGAAAGGAAGGAGGAAGAAAGAAAGAAAGAACTTATTTACAATATCTCTCAAATATATTATTTGTGAAATTCCAATTTCATTCACGTATTGGGTTTCAAAGTCAGGTTTTAAAACTGACTCGAAGTATTAATAGCAAACGTGGGTGTTCTGCAACGAGTATACATTATAAACATTTCTAAACGTTAAAATCTGGAAAAACATTGTACTCGTGTTAAATTTGTATGTTAAACGATACACACACGCGCACACACACACACACGCGCGCGACGATCATCGCAGAGAATAATATTGCAATGTTCGATCAGCTGTTTTCATTTTCATTTATTTATAAAGTGCAATGTTCCTTTCCTTTCATATTTTTTTGATTTCGTCGCAAATGTCGAACGATTTAAAAAAAAAAAAGAAAAAAAAATACAGAAAGAAGAGAGAAAAAAAAACGAGAGAGGAAAGCAAAAATTGAAAAAGAAAAAGAAAGAAAAAAAAAGAGAGAGAGAGAGAGAGAGAGAGAGAGAGAAAAAATATACGCTCGCGATAACGGAACACATTGAAATTTATTTACTTGTAATTTAATATTTATTTATTATTCTGTGATTATTATCTGTTATTATTGTTGTTTATTGGCATTATTTACATTGCCAATTTCATTTATATTGGCAACGAATCAGAAATGAAATTTTTGGTGGATAAGAGAGGAAGCTTTCTTCTTTTTTTCTTTTTTTTTTTTTTTTTTTCGTCGAGAGTATCAGAAGAGGGGGGTGAGAGAGGGTAAGTAAAAGGAAAAGAGAATAAAAAAAAAAAAAAAAGGAATTAAAGGGGAGACAAAAAAATAAT